TCGAGATTTGTCAAAACCTATAATATGGCCCCATATATTGAGAAAAAGTCGGACGACAACTCTTATCTTAAAAAATATGTTACAATAATTTGAGAGAATGAACTTGACAGCACTGTCAAAGAGTAAGAAGTTAGTGATATTTTTTTAGAGAGAATGATGACGCATATCCTGTGCAAATTTCATGTACCTGCAGATTTATTCTAACAATGTGTTTTTTCGAAAGCACTTATTAGTTATTACAAACAAAGTATTTTACGAACTTAAAAATATATCTAGCCATTATTCATCTGTAGACGAGCTACATACAACCTTAACGATTATTTTTCATTAGCGATTATCTAGCCTTAATTCATTTGTAGAGGAGCCTTAATTTTTTTATTTGCAAACTTTAGCGATTATTTTTAATTTTTATATTTATGTTGTAATTAGCATGATATTATCCATAATAAGTCATTTTATTCATAAATTGTATGAAGTAGAGTAGATTTGTTATATTTCATGGGCGTCCCGAAGATCAATAGGGAATGGCCTTAAACGAACAAACTATAATCAATACTTTATTCTCGTCTAGTGTATTACCAGATAAGCCATAAATGTTCGATTTCTTTACAAATAACAGAATAGTGAAAGAAGTAGGAAAATGGTCGACAAAAAGTTAGAAGACGCCTTCTTAGCTTAATCAAATCTAGTTGTATCCCATAGGACTTGCATTATCATAAACATATACTAATGTTAGCATTTACATACTTTCAATCGAGATGAAGCTGTCGTCTCGTCGCATATGGTTCCGTGATCAAGTGAAATTTAATTAATTAATCGATCCGATTCTCCTAATTACATTACGTAATCCACATTTAGACCTATTTGCTTCACTGTATAAAGAATTAAGATGACCACTCCAGGGCATGCGGTGCAGAAAAAAGGACAAAACATAAATACATATCCTATTACATTGAATCAACAAAATACAAATGTTCCGACTCAGCAACCCATCAGAGCCACCCACATCTTCATCCAAATGACGATGACAAAGATGGCATATCATGTTATCAGAAGCTATACATTGACAATATTTTGTATCATTATTAAGTAGATAGTAGTTTTCCAATTTGGTTGTCTTTGATTCAAACATATTTATAAAATAAATTTAAAAAACTGATTTTAAGATATAAGTAAAGACGTTCATTTCAACAAAAAATTCGACGTCCAATGTACGAGAACATACAAAGCGTGATATATTTAAGAAGGGAGACAACATTTATTTCGAGTCGATGCATAACACGTAAATCATGGATAAGGATATCCAGTAACACTATTGATGTTTAACATTAGTCTAGATGGCAGTTGGATCATCTTTAATTGTCCAACTAAGTTGGATGCGCTAGACAATTAAAGGTGTATCCTACTACCACTAGGACGAGTGTTAAATAGCATTTACTCACTCATAAATCATATATTTATGTATCGAGATGGTACTTTATGACTAATGTTACGTAGCATCATTGGAAATCATTATATTTCATGGATTAAGCCGAAAAAAATGAAATTAGACATGGAAAAGCGTGGATTCTTTAATCTCCTTTCAAAATTAGATTCTTCATCATTGTAAAGAGAGAAATGCTATTCATCCCCACTGGGGATGCATCCCCAGTCTATGTGGATGTAAATAATTGGT